AAACCATCTGAGGTGGGAGATGTTGTTGTGCTTGTGAAGAAATGTGCTCCCCCTGAACAAACCTGACAGCATATCCTGAGAAGGCCTCTGGCTTCGCGATAGTGGGTTATCACAGTTCTGCTCTCTAACCTGTCAGCACCACTATTTAACCTGCAGACACTCAGCTCTGCACTCGCTGTAATTTTGAGCCTCGGGTATGCTCATTAGATTATTGCAACTAACTCGATTTGCATTAAGTGGTCTGCAAACAGGCAGTAAATGGGAAAAAAAGCTGCTGCACAGGATTATGTGCATGATGGTAATTAGTAAATACAGCACCAGCCTACAGCTCAGCCTCACACATCCACCTGAGAAGTATGCAGACGCTCTCACTGGAGACTATAAAATGACAGCGCATAACCTGTGCTGCTCCGTCTGTCTTTGTCTTAGACTGGTAATGAGCAGTGAAGGTGTGAGACGAACAGGTGCTGCACACATCAGACGGGAGGCTTTGAGGCCAGCTCGCAAGTCGTACCTCAAAGCGCTGAGAGCTGACTTTCTTCCCCTTCTTCATCCAGGTGATCCGAGGTTTGGGCTCACCCACCGCCTGGCATACGAACGACGCCACTCCTCCCGAAATCCCTGTTTGATCGTCAGGGGACTTGATGAAGCTGGGCATGCCTAAGGGAGAGAGACAGCAAGAGAAAGATGAGGGCAGGTAGAGAGGAAGAGCAGGTAAGAGAGGATAACCAGAATCAGATGAAGAGCTCTGACAGAGAAACAGCTGCAGGCAGGTTATAGGGATTTTACAGCTGCTGTAAGTCTTGCAATAACAACATGATCTTCCAAAAGCTGTTTCATGCCTGTAGCCACACCTACTCAAACAGCCAAGCTCCATCATTTTCCTGATAATAAGCAGAACCTGTCAGTCTTATTAATAGTGGCAGGGAGCAGGGAGATGTGAACGGACGGACAGAAACCTTGAAAAATCTGTTTTGAATCAATGAATAAACAGGGGACCATAATACCCAACATTGCCAAAATAAAAGTCTGAAATAAGCAGCGAGCATGAATAATATATAGTGCTGCTCAAAGGTAAATCATGTCACGCACATGTTAAAGGTACCCATGTGGGGCTTTAGACTGCTGGCGCAGCTTTGAAGCAACGTGTTGATGAGCAGGCCACTGCTTTGTTTGTATCTAGTGCTCTAGCAGGCACAAATGCTGCCTTCGAATGTGCTTGAATTACCGTGCTCACCAGAAGAGTCCATGTAAAATAAAGCCTCTTATGGTAATCACAAGTGGAATTGTTCTAAAAGTTGCAAGTTTACTAGTTGTGACATGTTTTCTGATGCTTTAAGAAATGGTGGAGGCCACGAAGGTTTATTTTTCAGTGGATGGTAAGTTATTAAACTGTAATTTTAGTAGTACAGAGCTTTTCTTTACATTTTTAACAGTTTTTAGTTGTAAAGAGCTTTTCTTTGAATTTTTAACATTTAACATATTTCCAATTGCCTAATTTTTTCATTACGCCTTTACATTTCCTACATTACATTGTCTGCTTGCTAAATGGCTTCTACATACCAACAGTGCCATCCACATTGCTTTTGTTTGACAACAGTGTTCTCACGACTTATTCCATTCAAAAGCAGCAATACACACTCCACTCTACCATTCCTGAAACTGATGGGCTTGGAAGGAAACCCTCCTATCATACGATTTTGCCAACTAAAAGTTAGTGGATGTAACACGCTGAGAAATGCAGCAAGGAACTAAAAAAAAAAAAAGCTGCTCATTAATGCAACAGCCCATATTCTCCATGTCTACGAGTTCATAATTTTACTTTTGGGGGTCTACCAGAATATGTTTAAATGCTTTAATGTGTTCAAACCCACATTATTATTCTAATGCTGTACATTCCTGCAGCCCCTCTTCTCGCCCTCTGTCAGCATCTGAACAGTGTTTGCAGAAGTAATGGCGGCTGCTGAGGTGGATAAGATTGTCAGAAAATGCCAGGAAATAGAAAGAGCTCATCAGCAAGGAGTTTGTGGAGAATGAGGGCTTTGTGCATTTGAGATTTGTGGTCGAAATTTATAGCGCATTGTAATTTTTTTTTGCTTCAGACACACTTAAGGGCTTAAAAAGAATTCTGAATGAGCTCAGACCATTAAACTCCAGGCAGTAGATATCTTAAACTGGAGTTAGAACTAGTTCAGCTGCAGACATTTGCAAAGTGAATTGCTCTAAAAGTGACGCAACTTGTCCTGGAAGAATGAAAATAATGTGGATATTTAGAAAGTTGTTTTTGAATATGGAGAACTGAATTACAGATGCCTTCAATACTTATCTAGCCTAGCTATTATGTGGTAAAATGGCTTGCTATAGGTACTGTTATCTGAGATCTTGGGGTGTAGGCAGAGAAATGTAGCCCGAACAGACGCTGCTATAATGAGGAAATAATGGTAGACTGTAAAGCTCATTCTTGTTTTTCTTGGACATGCTAAACTATCCACTAATGCAAATGTGTTACATAGTGACGTAAATGAGTAAGAGAAGAAAAGCCTGAACGTCTAAGTTCCACCTCCAACAAGGTATTTTGAGAAGGTAAGGAGCAGTGTTTTCTGTGGGAGAAACTAACTCCCTTTGGTGGGACTTGGAGCTTTGTAAGTCTGCAGACGTTTTATCTGCACCAAAAAGCAGTTATATAACACATTCAAGGAAAAGCAGAACCACAAAAAGCAGAACACGGGCTCTTTAAGTGACTTACTAGAGACACATTAAAAACCAAAGGTCAAAATCAAAGCAGCAGGGGCTGACAGCTCACAGTTTGAAAATACTATCACACATTTCCATAATGTACCACAATCCCTTTAGTGCCTGGTAAATGTCCAAATCTTTTAAATTCAACCCTCAGTTTGTAATGTAGACAATCTGTCTATTTGTAAAAACAGAAGTGTGGGATTGCTCACCCTCCAAAATAACTGCAGTTTAAAAATGTTCTGTATTTTGAGAACATGACAAAGAGCTAATTTGAAATGCAAATAAATAAGATTTGCAATTAAAATCCCAGCTCGTGTTGCCAGTATTTTTTTTAATGTTTTGTTTGCAGTTTACATAGTTTCCTTTCTGTTTCTCAGTTTGTCAAATTTTCTCAGAAGAAAGACACTGGTCGAATAACCATCAGTCATGTGTGATGTTATTAGCATTCAGGTAGTAGCACTCCCTAGTTTCAAACATTTATTATGAACAAATGCAAGAAACATAGTGATTTGATTGTGGTTATATACAGCTCACACAATTCAGTTCTTTTTATATTTGACAACTCAAATGAAAGATGAGACTTTAATGAAGTAAAATATCAATTTATTTCAAACTAAATGTGACAAAGCACAGAAGCTGAAGAACAAAGCATATGGAACACTCTAAATACTTGTTTTGGACTCTAATGCTAAGAGAAATATTGATTACATTTTTTTTTTTTAGCTGCAAATTTAAAGGAATAACCTCAGGCATTGAAGACTAACTGAAAAAGAACTTAATACAAATTTATAGGAACCGAAATACCTCTAAGGGCTGTGAGAAACAATTTGACTGCTCAGCAGTGAAAAAAAATCCTGAAGCCAAAGGGACAACCACAGTGTACTGGTGGATTACTGTGAGCCTTGCACAAAGTGTAATCATTCACTGTGTACACCGAAAGTTAAGCTCCGGATGGGATTAATATCTTAACAGTGTTGTATGCCTGCTCAGACAAGGTCCAGAGGCAGCTTTCTGGTACCTCTAACTCCATCTGTGATCACACAAAAATGTATTCATCAGACTACTTCCTGTCTGTAAAATAGTTTTCACCAGGATTCTGGCACAACAACGCAAAAGGTACAGTTTGTCTGGTGAACACGTAACATCAAATTACTGTTTACACTCATTTGTTGTCTGACAACAGAAACTGAATGATAATTAAATGAGAATAGCTATTCAGAGTGGGTTTGCATCAAGGACCACTTTGGGCTTTAGATGATGGGAGCATAGATGGGAGGGAGTTTAAGTTGGAATGAAAGTTAGGCAGGGGTTAGGGCTGGGAACTAAGCAGCAACCTTCAGATCTATGCTGCTGTGAATATACCCCAGAAGATGGGCATCATGTAGCTTTATTTTGTAAAGTGCTATTTATTTGTATTATATAGTCTGCTGCTAAGAATGCACAACAGAAGATGGGTGATTTCGCCATCAGATAAAAATATATTTTTTTATTATTCTTTCTTTTTATATGGTGTTGTTTTTGTTTTATATGGTGCTAAGTATGCACAGCAGAACATGTGTCAGAGCTGCACCAAATACATTTAATTTTTCAAGAACAAGTAAAAAAAAGGCAAGGACATTTTTTTCTGTATCAAAAAAGTATCAAACTGTGACAAAACTGTGCTGAACCAAACCGAACCGTCAATTTTGTGTATCGTTGCACCCCTAATATCTACAGCCTGGTACAAAAAGAGGTTGTGGCCTCTGTAGGTCATTTCACCGTTCATGACAACTATACAGGGTCAAATTTTTATACAACTCACCAGTTAAACACTTTGAACTCCAAAACCTACCAACACATGATTCCTTTAATAAAAAAAAAGTCAAAATTGCACCATTTCTCTGAGAAACTGTAAAAACAAAGAATGTAAGGATTTTTAATTTGCATACAGTCATTGAACATGTCATGTCTGATGCACAATTCTTTTGGGTATAATAACCAAATCTAAACTTAAAATTGTGATATTTCATTCAAATAACTTGAGCCTAAACATCTCATTTACGTTTCATGAAAAATACACAGTTTGCACCTGATTCTGTAAAAAAAATAAATAAATCAAAAAATCAAAATTCTACGATCCTCCGCGCCTTTAAAAAGTCATGAGTGACTCAGCTGTGAACCAACAGTCAAGTGAAAAGATTCAAGGACTTGTCAGCTGAACGGCTGGCTGTGTTTACACAGAGCAGAGAGGAGGCGACAAGAGAGAATCAAAGAAAAAATAAAGCATACTTGATATTTAACAAAAATGTCACACAGAACCTGATAATTCCAAGGTGATGAAATGTTGTGCATTTACCACTGAGTTAGTGGAGCGTCGTGAGTGCTGCTGTTCATAAATAAAACAGACAGGGACATAGTTGTGTGTAATTGATGCCGAGATGTTTTTTTTTAAAAATACTGTAAAGAGGAATGGTACAAACTTATCATAAGCTGAACTGAGCTGCAAGTGACCAATTCTTGGCAACACGGTACAGTGGAAAAAGTCTCATACTGCATCTAACTATTCTCTGCATGGCTCTGCATCCTAATTAACCCACATCGCACTGTTTAAAAACCCTAACAGTCTGCAGGTGACTCCATCATTTACTCGTCCTGTCAAACTAATTAGTCAAACAGTGTTAGTAAAATAATTTTAGGAACCATTGATAGCACTGATGATAAATTGCATTTCTCTTAAGATAATATCATCAAGTCACTTTCAATTTTGGCACTAATTACTGCTCCAAAAAGATAATTGGAATAAGTGAGTCATCTGTGATGTTATTTATATTACTACTCAGTCTCCGTGCCTCCACTCCTGGAGCTGAAAGTAAATACGGTAAAACTCACAAAGGCCTTTTCTACCTGCAGACAGACTGATGTGAATGTGCAGCGGTTAGACC